TATATATATACAGAGAGAGAGAGAGAGAGAGAGTTAACATTGGCAGCCTAAGTGACTTTTCGGAGCTTGGGTCTGAAATCATACACTTCAGATAGAGATCATTTTACTTATCAAAGCTACAGAAAGTGTAACTTCAGGCAGTTCCAGAAGTTTTATTTTTGTAAGCAATCTTCTTGCATAAATATGTTAAATTAAAAAAAAATGAAAACAGCTGGATTCAGTCTCACCAGAGGATTGAAAGGTAGCTCACATATTATAATGATATCTTGTTCTAATGCTTTTAGGGTTCTACCCTTGGCTGAGATTTTCAAGGCTGTTGAAAGAATTTGTTCATTTAAGCCTCATTAAAATGTAATTAATTAATTAGTATTAATAGCAATTGAATACCTCAACACCCCTACTTGGCTTTAAAAACCTCACTGTTTAAAATAATATTTCATTTAATCATATAGTAATAATATTTACTTGCATGTATATTAATTCGTACAATTGTTCAAGGCAAATGGAAAGAAACAATATTGACCAATAAAATTGTGTGCCATTTTTCCAAAACCCTGGTTCTAGAACCACATCTGTAAACATGAAATTCTGCTTAGGAATTAAGTTCTTGTGCGGGCAATTACTGGTGTTGTTTGTGGACCAATGTATGGTTCTGCACATTGTTTATGATTGCATCTCAGGTGATGGATCATGATTAGAGCTCCATGTTTGTCACAGAGGTAGCAGAAGTCACAGATTTCATGACTTCCTGTGATCTCTGTGAGTTCTGCAGCAGCCCATGTGGCTGACCCCAGGTCTGTCTAAGCAGCTAGTCCCGGGGATAGCTGTTCAGGTGACCCTAGGGACTACCAAACTAGCTACTGCTTGAGCAGCTCTGCCACTGGAGTGACCCCAGCCCCCAGGGTTCCCTCCCACCCACTCAGCTGCTGCTGTCATGGCTCTCCCTTCCAGTAGTGTATCTCCTCCAAGATTCAATCAGGTCTCATGGATAGGTTGCAGACTATGATTTTGTGTTACTTGCCCATGACCTGTCCATGATTTTAACTAAAAATACCCATGGTTAAATAATAGCCTTAATTATGATAAGCTGGTGCTATAAATAAAGCATATGAAGGAGAAAAGTCCAGCCATTTTAAAATGAGCAGGCTAAGAAGTACTCACCAGAGCTGCCAGGGTCCCTTTCAAATCAGGCGTTTCAGTTGAAAACCAGATGCCTAGTAACCCTGTTCACATGTTCTGGTCCTACTGTGCATAGCCTATAAAAACAATATCATTAGAAGATGGTTAGATGTCATTTCAGTTCTTGAGCTAATGTAAATCAGTAGAGCTCCACTGGCTTCATTAAAGAACTGCCAATTTATGCTAACAGGCTCTTAGCACAAATATCTTTTCCCCCAATTTGACTTTTTACACAAGTCAAATTATTAAATTATTAAAATCAGATGCTGCTTTGTACTTCATTCATTTTATACCAGAGTCAATTTAGAATATTCTCCTCACAACCACCAGTGTAATGTACAAATAGCCGGTACTGTTGGATCATCTGCTCTAGGTCTGTGTGTGGTCAGCATTGTATAAGAACATAAGAATGGCATAGGGACCATTTGAGCTGACCAAAGCAGTGGACACCTTGAGAGCTGAGTTTTGCTCTCTCCCTTATACTACAGTAAATTCCATAGTTGTTAGTAGAATTATAGTTTATTAGTTCCAGAATTTCTTTGAGAATTTCTTTGAACTTCACTTAAATATTTTGTTGTGGGTTTTATATTTACTGTGTCTTATGAAGTTTGGATATTTGTTACTAACTGTATAAAAGATAAGTAAAGCTACTGACGATGGGTTTTTTTTAAATGAGAAACATTTTAGGTATAAGGGACAGTAATGTTTTAAGGAAGGTGCCCTGGTCTCTAACAGATAATGTAGATGTAGTTTTATGATTCAGAAATACCTATTTTTTTAAGAATCTAGGCCTACAAGTCTAAAACCAATTTATTTTCACAATAGCATAGGCAATTAGGAGCCTATATCTCACTGAATGCTTGCTAAATGCCTGTCACTTTTTGAAAATGATCCCAGGACATCATGCCACAAATTCACTCTATCCCTGAAAACAAATACAATAATTGCTCCTTTCTGCGAGCAATAATTGTGACTTTCACTCTGTGTTAGTAGCAAATAATATATCACTTCTTAGTAAACTGAAATTAAGGTATAGCTTCTCAGAAAACAAGCCATTTTCTAAGTTGTGCTGTGAGTCATTAGCCATCTGCCACAGAATACGCATGTATTCTGATCATGTTTGAGATGTGGAGCAGATGTCGTACAATCACGTGATACTTGAAAACAAGGTGAGAAATTCCAGGAATAAATATACCACCATGATGATGAAATGGCTGTAAAAAGAAGAAAATAATCTTCAGTGTGGCCTGTATGTAACCACATTGTTAAAAGAGGCTCCTTAAAATGTGTAACTGCATAAATGAGCCCATTCAAATGTGCATGTTGTGTGACATAAATAAATGCTTGATTAGTTGAATTTCTAAAATTGTCCTCCTAATATTCTATAGTAAGGAAAAAAATGAAACCTTGGTACATAATAGGGCAACATAAAATGATTTATTATTTTATAGGACTACTTTACATTGAAAAGTTTATTCTTTTAAAATAAGGGCTGTTATGCCTCCTACAATGGTAAGTAGGCTGGATAGATGGAGAGAAAAGAAGCATGAGACACAAATTGCAGATTCTAGATACATTGTTAATAATATGCATTCTGAGTAGTGCATACAGGAGAGGTTCCCCTTAATGTGGTATAGCTAACTCTTCCCCATAGTGTAGCAGTTCCTACAAACATGGAGGCAAAACCATGTCTACCTCTGTCACACCCAGACAGCTCCTCTGGAGCCGCTGATGCTGTCCATAGTGTGAGGTCTGCAGTCCACAGCTTGCCCTCCTTACACTGATGGCCAAATTTTAGCTATGCTGGGAAAAAATGACTCTCTCTACAGTGCCCAACACTGTTGTAACTAAGGGCTGCTCTTACCTCTCAGTTAAGGCATTTGTACTATTAGCACCACAATTTGGACCTAATTTTTTTTTCTGAGCCCTGCTATTAATTTTTAAGTACCATGGAGGAGACATACTATGAACCTTAATTATTTCCAAATTCAAATACACAGAAAATGGGGGAGAGGGGGAAATCTCTTATTTCATGTAGTGCCCTATTCCAGGCCTGCCCAGAACTCTAATCACTTCCAAACTAAGGAGCACATATAAATGTGCAGCACTCCAATAATTTTAAATCGGTTTCCATTATAGTGTGATGTAAAGTCATCCAAGTGCTTCACATTTTTAATGAGTTTTCCAGTTTGTAAAGGAGTCAAGAAACTTTCCAATATAGTGAATGAAGGCAACCCACCTGTATTAATAATTTGAGCTTCTAAATATAATGAATTAGTAAATGTTGTATAAAGATGTCTACGAAATAATCACAAAATAAAGATCTAA